CGTCATCAAAGCTCCAAATAACCTTCTACAAGTTTACAACGAATTTGGTGAGATTCGGTAGAGGCGCCGCTCACTACAAATAAATAAACTGCCATACTTTCTACATGGAGGTTCAGCAGAAGTGATGCCGTCGTGTTGAACTTTGCGGAAGTGTTTTGGCTTAGATAACTGAAAGGTTGTTTGTTTGGTTGGTTGGAGACGTTTACGTACTGTTGCACATTTATTTAATATGAGACGATATGTTCATGAGACCTAATGAGATCAACCAAATAATATACAGTGGAGAATATGTTGAATGCATAAATTGGAATCGTGTGTCATGTACATAGGGAGGATAAAAGCTTCTAAGCTGCACCCGTTCATAATTTAACAACATAACATATTCTGATAAGGCTAAACCGTGGTAAATCTACATGTGCACTGAGCCGTCAAATTGCGAGTTTGTGTGGAGCTTAGGCAGGTTGCCTATAATCCACCAGATTTCCGAAGTAAGCATAGGAATTTCAGCTTTTCTAGATCATGGTCTTCATTGGCCGGATCGCAAAACGTGGAGAAAAGCTCAAAAGATATTGAACCTGGCTCCAGCCGAGCGAGTTGAAAGAACTGAAAAGATATCTCCGAAAAGTTGAAGCATTCGATACACAAGGTGGAATAAATCACTGATACATCAATACTTCAATGTCATTTTGACATTGGTATTTAGAAATCAATTCCATCCATAATACATTCAACTAAAACACGATAAATCACAAAATTAGTGATTTCCCGAAAGATCGCTCCCAGCCCTCACTTATTTTTCCATCCTCTGCTCAACGCGCGGCATACAGTACACAAATAGCGGTCACTATTATAGTTTAGATCTCAAAGCGCTGCTTTGAAAAAGGTCACACTTAGTGGCCAGATAAAGGAGACTCTTCCCTACAAACGGCCTAAATAGAAAAACCCATGAAATTAGAACCGACCCCGAAAATCGGTGAGCCATTTCTCATTAACTGAAGGTAGGGTAATTGGTCGGCTCGTAATTCTTGACCTTTTCCGCTTGAGGGGAGCCTGACAAGGGAAGGATCCCAGGTCGAAGTGGCCATTTGTAACGAGACATACACCACTAGATGTGTTTTTGGACGCTGATCTCGAATCTGCTCTCCAAATCTGCGAAACGATTCTCTGAACGTAGTTATGAAGCGAGATAGTGCAGTGGCAGCGGCCCGGCCGACGAAAAGAGGTCGTGAGATCGAATTCTTGGCGAGTTCTCACTTTTGCTTTTCTTGAAACGTCGGATATCGCCAAGAACTTCGATCTCACGACCTCTTTTCGTCGGCCGGGCCGCTGCCACT